GTCCTTTGCCAGAGCAGCAAGTGTTCTTGACTTCAAGATGACCTTCCCATCCCATCTCTGAGAATTTTTAAGAGAAATTTTATCACACAGTGTAATGAGATTCTCATTACATTGGCCAATCTAGGCTTTAAACTCTTGGACTTAAGCAATCCTCCTGCCTCAGGGCCTTTGAGTGGCTGAACTATGGGTGTGTGCTACCCTGCCAAGCTAAGAAAACATATTGTCTCACATAGCGAGTCCTAAGTAGGACAGCTTCAAAGCTGGTCAATTCAAAGACCCAAGGTATCCCTTTCATCATTTGGCTTCGCCAGATTCAGGGTATCACTTGTGTCCATAAGTTGGCTCCAGAATTCCCAGGTGCCGTGCCGGGCGTTGGTGGCGCACACCTTTAATCCCAGCACTTGGGAGGCAGAGGCAGGCGGATCTCTGTGAGTTCGAGGCCAGCCTGGTCTACAAAGCAAGTTCCAGGACAGCCTCCAAAGCCACAGAGAAACCCTGTCTCGAAAAACCAAAACCAAAAAAACAAAAACAGAATTCCCAGGTGCCACATTTAGCATGCAAAGTCCAGAGGGATGCCTTTTTTCAAGATGATGAAATGCTGCTTCCAAAGAGCCACCCAGCAAGATTTCTCCCCTGAGTTAATGTCTCAATAGTTGGGTTGTGAGATCAGCCTACACTGAAGGCTATCTGTGGTAGGGGAAGGTGTCATAGTTATGGCTTCTACTGCTGCAATAAAACACCATGACCAAAAAGCAAGTTAGGGAGGAAAGGGTGTATTTGTCTCACACTTCTATATCACTGCTCATCACTGAAGGAAGACAGGACAAGCAGGACAGGAACCTGGAGGAAGGAGCTGATTCAGAGGCCATGGAAGGGTACTGCCTACTGGCTTCCCTTGGCTTTGCTTAACCCGATTTCTTATAGAATCCAGGACTACCAGCCCAGGGATGGCACCACCCACCATGGGCTGGGCCATCCACCATTGATCACTTACAGCTGGATCTCATGGAGGCATTTCCTCAACCGAGGCTCCTTCCTCTCTGATGACTCTAGCTTGTGTCACTTTGGCACACAAAACCAGTCAGTACAGAGGCAACCACAAGATTAACCCCTGAGCTGCCATTGCATCTTTTATCCAGGATTCTTGGGCTTAAATGTTTAATGATCAAAGAAGAAATGGGCGAAAGATGCTAATTTATTCCCATTTTAATAAGGACAAACCTGTTTTAGAGTAACTACTTAAAACATTAAAGGTCATACATGATTGAGGCATGGTAGTGAACCTTTAATCCCTGCACTCAGAAGGCAGAGGCAGACTGACCTCTGTGAGTTCAAGGCCCAGCCTGGTATACATAGTGAGTTCCGGAGCTACATAATGAGACCCTGTCTCAAGCAGGGAAAAAGTCATAAAAGAATGAGCGACAGGGACTGGAGAGGGGGCATAGCAATTAAGAGCACTGGCTACAGAGAACCTGGGTTGGGTTCAAATCCCAGCACCCGTATGTCAGCTCACAATTGTCTGTAACTGTGTTCCGGGGAATCTGAGACCCTTTTCTGGCCTCCTTGGGTACTAGGAACACATAGACATACAGTTAAAATATGCAATCACATAAATAAAAATATAAATGAAGCACAGAGAAAGCAAGAGTATTGTCATTCTGACACAGGTCTGCCTGTCCTACAAGGTCATGCCTTTTCCATGTCACTCAGACATGGTGTAATAGTTATCTGTCACTGTGACCTTTAGGATAAATCTGTGATGGTTTATCTTATGCTTTAGCACACAGTGAGAATGTCACTTGCCATTACAGGTACAAAAATGTGATCATATCATTCGTGTTGTTTCATGATCTGCCTTACAATATGCTGACTGATGATTTCAGGAGAGAAAAAAAAGGGCCCCCTTGTACCTCCTTGTTTTATTTGTTTGGGTTTTCATATGATTTAACTCTATTCTCTGCTCAGTAACTAAATGAGGACTTTATGAAGAAGTCAACTATTATCAGCCTTTAGCTCAAAGTCTGGTAAAAAAAAAATTGTAGAATAGTGACGTCTCTGTGTTTATTATGTTTTTACATTTTCTTTTCTTATGGCTGGGGATTGAACCCAGGGCCTCCCATCCCTTCCTTGAATTTTAAACACTAAAAATGTCTAACTGATTAACAAGGCATTTCAAGTTTTCACAAATTCTGTTTGTGGGTCAAAACTTAAATTCAGCTTTTACTAGAAATGGTGCTATGTTAGTTGGGCAGTGGTGGCACACACCTTTAATCCTAGCACTCAGGAGGCAGAAACAGATAGTTCTCTGAGTTTGAGGCCAGCCTGGACTACAAAGCAAGTTCTAGGACAGCCAGAGCTACACAGAGATACCCTGTCTGGGAAAACCACACACACACACACACACACACACACACACACACACACACACACACACAATGCTCACAATGCTGCTATATGAAAAATGTAGAAATATAATAATTATGCTGCTTTTGCTTTTTGCTGCTTGAAAGTACTGACTGACTTTACATTGTTATCAAATCATACTTTTTTTTTAAATCTTCAGGGCAGGGCAATAAAACCTTGGGCCCCATTTATGAAGGTGTTCTACTACTGGACTATACCTTACCCCCATCATGACTTTTTTATTACATGTAATTCTTATGAGGCCAGCAAGATGGCTCAGCCAGTTAAAGGTGCTTGGGGTGCAATCCCTGCTATTTGAGTTCATTCACCAGGACCCAGGTAAACGTGGAAGGATGGAACTGATGTCATAAAGTTGTCCTCAGATTTCCACAGGTATGCCATGGCAGGAGTGCCTACACACAAACACTAATCATTTTTAAAATTAAAAAATAATAATCCTGCCAGGTGTTGGTGGTGCACGCCTTTAATCCCAGCACTAGGGAGGGACAGGCAGGCAGATCTCTGTGAGTTCAAGACCAGCCTGATCTACAGAGCGAGTTCCAGGACAGCCTCCAAAGCAATACAGAGAAACCCTGTCTCGAAAAACCAGTAAATAAATAAGCAAATAGAAATAATAACCCTACCAGGAGGTGGTAAGACACACCTTTAATCTGAGCACTTAGGAGGCAGAGGCAGGTGGATCTCTAAGTTTAAGGCCAGGCTGTTCTATAGAGTGAGTTATAGGACAGCCAGGGCTACTTAGAGAAATCCTGTCTTGAAGCAAACAAACAAAACAACAAAGCAATCCCAAGTGATTTTGATGGAATTCTGGCATCTACAAAACTTGATTCACTCCCTCTTAAAAACACAAAAAATCATTTTTGTTTTTGTTTTCAGATGGGGGTCTCACTATGTACTCTAGGTGACATGGAACTTGCTATGTAGACCAGGCTAGCCTCAGATTCAGAGATTTGCCTGCCTCTGCCTCTTGAATGCTGGTATTAAAGATATACACCAGTGCCAACATGCTAGACTCAAAAAAATAATTTTTTTTCTGGTGTGGTGGATTAGAAGGTACTTTAAGCATATTTCCCCTCAAAACAGTCAAAGATGGAGTAATTTGTTCTGGGTAAGGGACTCCACCCTTTCTGTTTATAATAAAACAAGTTCGCTAAATTATTTAACACACCCATTACTCAAACGGGAGTATTTAATGAAGACACTGTTGTTTCTATATGGTAATATTTGAATGATGTAACAGTAAGAGTCAAACAAGACAACTCTTGCATTAAGTAATTGTCCTCTTCTCTTACTTTTGTCTCTGTAAAACATACACAAGGAAAGTTAAACTTAGCTTTCCAGTCACCAGGTGGCTGGAAAGAGGTCTTTAATGGAGAGCCTTTAAAACAGGCTGTGACTCTGAGGTCCCTCTGGGGTTGAGTTCCCTGGAGTGAAAAACTCTTTTGCAAACTAGACTTGTGAGTAAGCCTGGAGAAAGGCCGATTAGCCAGTCTCCTTTCTGCCCGAGGAGGGATAGAAGGGAGGACACCGTAATCATCTCTTTTCTTTCTATTAAGCCTTGAAGCTTCAAAACCTCTTTCCCTTCAAGGTCTCTGCAAGGAAATTAATAGGATTTAAGTCACCCCCATCACACCAAGATGAAAATGACCCTCAGGTGACCGGAAGCAAAGAAAATGACGCATTAAAATATTTAGCTGTTGCAAGGATTTTTTTCCCCCAAAGGTAAACTAGTTTGTGGTTGAACAGGGTAGTCAGACCTACTTGCCCTCACAATTTAACTTGTCCCCTGTAGGTGGCCGTGTAAGGGCTGCTTGTGGAAGGCGACATTTACAACGTGCATTTAACTAAAAGCATTGGCTTGTACTGTGATTATGAAATTTGTCTTTAGCCATTCGCATTTGGGATGCGCCTTCGCCTCGGGGAGGCGGGAAAGCGGTGCGACCCAAGTTTAACCAGAGAGGATGTTTTATTTCGAATAAGCACAACCCAAACGCTCTTTCTCCACCCACCTCTGCTAATATAACGGTCAGGGAGGGACGAGCAGCACGCCCCTAGGTGTACGGTCTCCACCAAGGACGAGCCCGAAGCAGAGTGGAAAAAGCTCTCTGTTGTACTCCCGCCCTCTCCAAACTTCGCTCCCAGTCGTGGGGGACAGGAGGGTCACTGAGGAATTTGCAATTTCCGGGAGGTTGGGGAAGCACTCACGAGCGCAGTCCCAACAGGGGTGGCCCTCGAACCCGACTTCCCCCCTCGCAGCGCACGGCTGTTAGGCCGGAGGGGCGTGGCTAGGGGGACAGGGGCGGGGCTTCACCTGCGTGCGTGCGCGCGCGCGGAGCGGCGGCCGGTGGGGGCGGGACCTGGGCGGGACCTGTGTTAGAACTGGGCTTGATGGGGTCTTGGCTGGCCTAGGGCGGGGCTTTGACTGGGCGGGGCCTGACTTGGGGTGGGGGCCTGGACTAGCCGGGGGCGGGGCACAGGAGGGGGCGGGGCCATGGCTGGTCTGAGCGGGGAGGCGCCTGGAGAGGGCGGAGGAGCCTGCGGGAGGGGACCAGGCGGCGGCTTGATCGGCGGCCGCAGCTGCAGCAGGACGGCCGGCCGGCGGCTCGGGGCCGCGCTCCGGGAACCTCGCGGGGCGGGCGGGCGCCGCACCCCGGCCTGGCCGCCTGCGCCCCGGGGAGGCTCCCTGCGCGCGACTGGACCAGCAGCATGAGCAGCGGCTACAGCAGCCTCGAGGAGGACGCGGAGGACTTTTTCTTCACCGCCAGGACCTCCTTCTTCAGGAGAGCGCCTCCGGGCAAGTCCCGTTCGGGTCAGCCGGTGAGTGGCGTGCGCGGGGTTCCGGCCCCACGTGTCTACCCCCCTGAGCTGGCCGATGCTCGCCTGCGGGCTTGCGGGGTGCAGAGGGTGGCCTCTGCCCTTTGGGATCCTGAGAGGTGCTGGAAGCTTGTGTTGTGGGCGTGGGGCGCCCGCGGCGAGGGAAGGAGGTGGAAGGGCAAGCAGCCAGATGGCCTGGGCCGCTCTGCTTGGGGACGCGGGCTGCTGGAGCAACTCCAGGAGCTTGGAGGTCCCCGGGCCACTCGTTGCTCCTTCGGCAGCCCTTCAGGGGCTGCGGCCGGGTCTCCGCGCCGTCCTGGCTGCAGTCCGCTCGATGGCCATGAGTGGCCTGAGGGCACTCAGTGGCCCGGGGTGACCGAGCAGCCCCCAGTACCGGCAAACTGTGGGGCAGAGACCGGACGATCGTTGGGGCTTACTAAAGTTTGGGTCGCAGGACCCGAGCCTGGCGTTTCCTTTCAGGTCCAGTTTGCGGGACGTCTTAGGTAGACTTAGCTCCAGAGGGCTGAGCTTTACGCCGGTTTCTTCCTTTTTTGGAGGAAGGGTGCCGTGGGAAGCGTGGCTTGGGAAAAGGCAGTACGGGAACTTGTGCCAGTTTCGCAGATCGTGACAATGGTTATTTTTTAGGGAAGTTTTCCAGTCGGGGCACTTTGGTCCGACTTTTAAGGTCGGCGCTTGAACCTGTGGCCTTCTGGTCCTGGAAGCCGCGCCAGGCCTGTTTAGCCAGATCATGTTCTCATCAGATTTAGAGACTGCAGCGGAACAAACTTGTTGCTCCTAAAACACAACAGGCTCGCACTGGAGATTTTTATCAGAGCTCCGGAGATGAAAAACAAGAGAAACCAATCGTTGAGGGGCCCAGTGATGGTGGGGATTTTGGTGGAGAGGAACTCTGCCCAGGCTGTCCTTGCCAACCCTTTTAAGTTTAGTGGAGTACTTTTTGAAGTAAAATTTATTTATAAGATTTGGAAGTTCTAGTCTTTTTTTGGTCTATTAAATTTCCAAGCTCAAGGGAGGAGGGGGGGTGAAGGCTGAGAATGAAGTCTAGTGGTTTTATTTCTACCAACAGCTAACCTAGGGAAGGGCTGGAGGTGGGTGCTGTTAGGTTTTATCGTCCTCAGACTTCAGGCCGCTCTGTTTCCTGGGGCTGTCTTTTATTTTCATTAGAATGTGCTAATGCATGAATTTGGAAGTCTAAGATTCCCTGCCTGGCCTGCCTCCTGTGGGTTAGAGAGACGTGTCTTTCTTGCACCTTGTTTTTCTCTTCATTGCTGGCCTTGGTTTCCCTTCATCATTGGCATTTTCTCCTTCCACTTAAAGCTGCGAAGAGCTTGTACTAGTTTGAAGCGTGTTCCGGAGGTGACTAGTGATTTCCAGAAAGCTAGAGGGTTCTTGAATTCTACAGGTGGAATATTGTGGTTGGACTTAAGTTTAAGAATCCTTCCCTGCTCTTAAAAATGTTGAAACAGTAGGCTGGGTGTGAAGATCAGTTAAGGAACTTGCCCTGTACTCCCTGCATAATCTGCGTGGTGGTGGTGGTTCACAGTCGTGTGTGTGTGTGTGTGTGTGTGTGTGTGTGTGTGTGCGTGTGCGTGCATGCGTGTGCGTGCAATTCAAGACCATCATCTAAAACACACACAGCAGCATCACTTCTTTCTCGGATTATATACACTTAATATTATATACACAGCAGCATTTCTTTCTCAGATTATATAGAGTTAGGCAGTTCAGCTCATATGCATTCACATATGTAATAGTCATCTAATTGTGTGTATGTGCATATCTGTATATATCTCGTAATATTGCTTATTGAGCTCCGCTATGAATGCGTATGCAAGGCTTGTGTTAAAAGATCCGCTTCCTGGGTCTAACAGTTCACTGTGTATAATTTGAAGCTCTGTTGCCTGTTTGTCCCATCTAGTTTAGCTCATGCAAGGTGCTAAGTTGTAGCAGTTGTTTGCCAGTTAAAGAAAGGGTTCTTGGTGAAAACGGTTCTGAGGCCAAAATTTATTTGTTTATTCAGTTACTAATTTTTGAGACAGTGTCTCTCTACATAGCCTTAACTGTCCTGGAACTGACTCTGTAGACAGGCTGACCTCGAACTCAGAGTGCCGGGATTAAAGTCATGTTCCACCATGCCGGTCTGAGCCCTGAATTTCAGTAGGCATTTGATTTTATTTAAAGAAGTGACTGTATCCTAAGTTCCTGATTTGTAAATGAGGAAGTAGAAAACACTTAAAGCAAAGCACTTTATGGTAGATATTTCTTTACCTTGATACTCTCATGATTATGAGGCAAGACAAACACTTCTAATACACAGTGCCTTTACCTCTTCCTTGAAAGGTGGGGACAGCTGTTGCCATAGGGATCTATTCTTGATAGCAGTGATTTTTCCCCCCTCCCTTATCTTGTACCACCTGTGGGAGAGCTACAGAATATGGTTTCTGGAGCTCTTGCAAATATTCAAAGAAAGCAAGAAACCTCTGGTGAATACCGGATGAGGAGAAGGGAGAGTGTTGGGGAGGGGGTAGGCGTTTCCTTTCTTCTCCTGCCAGTCAAGGAAACATGATCCAACTCCTTTCCATCTCCCACGATAACAAAAAGAGACATAAAGAGAATGATGTCATGTCGTTTTCTCATCTTATTTGATACCCTGATTATTTAAAATAAATAAAGAAAAAGGGATTGCAGATCTGTGTGAAAGTGTTAAAAAGGGCCTTTTAGGTGATGCTATTTCTGTCTGTCTCCTCTGGCTTGAGCCAGTGCCTGACTCAGCAGTTGCTCGGTAAATACTAGTTGAATGAATGATTTCCTGACTTGATGATACCCCTTTCAGACATATCCTGTCTGGGTTCCTCCAGGAGCCATCTGAAGCAGGGATGAGAGGAGAGAGAAGGTTGAGTGGTTGTCTAAGGCCTTCGCTCAGACACCAGGAAGGCTGTGGATCCTCTTATTCAGATTCCATTTTCATTTTCTTAGCAAAAAGATTACTTAAAATTCCATTTTCCCTTGTAAATATGGATGTGCACCTGTCAATCATTTCTCAAAGTTTGACTCTTTCTTACACATCATTACGGTACTCTCAGTTCGTGTTTGTGGACGCACCATATTTCAGGTGACTCACCTAGGGCTGGCTGGAGAGATGGCTCAGAGGTTAAGAGTACTGGCTGCTCTTCCAGAGGACCTGAGTTCAATTCCCAGCAACCACATGGTGACTCACAACCATCTGTAATGAGATCTGATGCCTTCTTCTGGCCTGTAGGCAGACGGACCACTGTATACATAATAAATAAGTAAATCTTGAAAGAAAGAAAGAAAAGATCCACCTAGTCTTAGTTTTAATAAGCAGACACCAAAAATGTCCACAGTTCTGTAGTTACTAAAATCAAACTGCCTCAAAATATAGGACACATTCAGGGCTAAACTTAGATGTCTTTTTTTTTTTTTTTGAGGCAGTCTCAAAACTGGCCTCAAAACTCTCCATGTAGTTAAGGATGACCTCTAACTCCTTGATTCCCCTGCCTTCTCCTGAGTGTTGGGAGTCACACCCAGTTTTCTGGAGATCACTCAAGGCTTAGGACACTTAGGCAAGCATTCTTCTGACTGAACTATACCCCCCAGCCCATGTCTTCCCTTCCAGCTGAGGGGATAGCCTTTGGTAGTTAATAGAATAAGGGACACGGTTTCCGTTTTGGAAGTGGAAGAACCCGATGTCTCCAGAACCCGAGAGGACTTTGCATACCACCCTCATTAACAACTTATACCGAAGAACCGTGAAAGCAAGCCTGCAGTATGCCAAATAAGCCTTCAGTTTGCTTTTTGGGTTGGCGCCTTATTCTTCTAGTAGTCATTTTGTGCCTATCTGGTTATGATTTATTAGACAGCTCAATAGTATGTGTTATACTCTCTTAAATTTTATTATTTTTTAAATTTTATATGTATGGGTGCTTTGCCTGTGTGTATGTCTATATCATATATATATGTGCCCATTGAGGTCAGAAGAGGGCATTGGATCCCCTGGGACTGGAGTTACAGTTGGTTATGAGCTGCCATGTGGTTGCTGGGAACAGAACCTGGGTCCTCTGGAAGAGCAGGCAGTGCTCTTCACCTCTGAGCCATCTCTCCAGCTCCTGCACTCCCTTTATTAGTGTTTCCTCCGGAAGTGTTGGAAGTAGGTCACTTGAGCAAAAGAGTAGTGGTTTAGAGTGTCAGCATTGTTTTAGCTATACTAATTTTAACCGATTATAACTGATTACAAATAGTCCCACCAGCAGTCTTTTTTTAAATCAATTTTATTTTATGTATTTGGGTGTTTTGTCTGCAAAAGTCTATGTCTTATACATGTGCCCGGTGCCTGCAGAGGCCAGAAGGTGTCAGAAACCCTGGAACTAGAGTTATGGATGGCTGCTGGGAATTGAACCTGGGTCCTCTGGAAGAGCAGCTGGTGCTCTTAACCGCTAAACCAGCGCTCGCCAGCAGTTTTGCACATCTTGCCTGCCTGACCATTCTTACAGCCCCCGTCCACTGGACTTTTGTGGTCGAGTCGGCGGGGTTCACAGAGGTACATTTCTCTAACTGCCTTTCAGAACGAAATCAGCCCCAGCCTTCTGTAGCCTCGTCTGAGCAGTGTACGCTGGTGTTTCTTCTTTTGGCAAACATCTAAGATTTGGAATTATTTGGAAGCAGTGACAAAAAACATTTATGAAAAGAAAGACTAAAAATATCCAATAATGTGGTTATTCTTTTCAGACTTCCTTTGGCAGCCAGTGCCTGTCATACTGTGGCCATTATTTTTCTAGTGGGAAAAAAATGACACTGAGCCCATCCTTCCTAGTGGTGTCTGATCCAAGCTCTTGGCCTTGAACATGAGGTGCTCGCTTTCTCCGTCCTCCCTGGCCTAAGTAGCTGCCTTTTGGGAAAGGCCGTGCTTGGAGGCTCGGAGGCTGCTAGCCAGCCGTGGGGCCCCTTGTCAGAAACCATAGTGG